ATCATGAAAGAAAGAATAATGGTCTTCTCTTACAAGGAATCCCCACTTTGGCAGGTTACCATAAGAGCAGCACTGTTATGAACAAGTGTGACATCTCTCCTCACCTGCATGACAAAAGCCCACTTCCTTGTCTTTCCTGTCACGTTATGAGGCAGATAGACACTGGCACTGTGCTGTTTGTTTGGATATTACAGCCGCCAGAATTGTGAGCCAAACAAATCTCTCTCTCTTAGATAAAATATTCAGCCTCAGATATTTTGTTATAACAACACAAAACAGATTGAGACAATAACCAATGTTGAGTTGGCATTTGTGTGTTAGGCTTTGCACAAAGACCTTTTGCTAATGTTATCTCTGTTGACTATAAACCACAAAACACCTTGAACCTGACAATCCTCACTTTCCAAGGAAAGAAGCCAAGGTACGCGAATAAATAACTTGCAAAAGATCTTATCACCAATGTATGAAGAAGTCAGTATATAAATGGATCTTTTTGATTCTTTTTTTTTTTTAATTTATTTTGCAATACAATTCAGTTCTACATATCAGCCACGGATTCCCTTGTTCTCCCCCCTCCCGTCCCCCTCACCTTCCCCCCAACCCCCCCCCCCCCATTCCCATCTCCTCTTTTTGATTCTAAAACATCGAACCACTATAGTTACTAGTTTGATACGGTGGAAATGGCCTTTCTCTTGGATTGGCTCCATGTTATTTGTAGCCAATCAACAATTGTTAAGTCTTTTCCTTTAGATACTTTGTCCAAAATAAATAAGAAATTGCTGTACTCATGAAGCTTGAGTCCCGCTGTGCTCTTTCACCCCTGGCCACTGAACCACAGCAAAAACGTCTCTTGCAGTCTTTCCTAGTGACTCTGTAACCTGGGTTCCCACACAGCATCCTAGGCAGGCACTCACTGACGACTTTTCTTCTTATCCTGATGATAAATAATCCTGTGTATGACTTTGCAATCTAGCCCTACTTCCCTTGGGGACTGCTGTCTAAACACAAGTCCACACCACAGATCACATCTTCCATCTCCTCCCTTCCTCTCTCATTCCTGAAGTGTTCTGACTTTTCTGTATGATGTCACCTCAGCCAATCTGCTCTTCAGTTTTCCATTTGAGTTGCTTACTTCTTCATGTCTGTAACCTCAGGGTGGATGTAAACTTTTGTGAGCTCAGAATTACTTCAGTATAGCATTCTCCATCCACATATTGGGTTGAAACTTGCTTGGCTCTGGGACACAGTCCTGAAAGATACAGTATCAAATGCTCCAACCCCAAAAGTTGAAATACCAAGATATCAAAATTCAGTAAGTAAAACTCTGGAAAAATAATTTAATAATTTTGAAAAATATATTTACTTGTATTTTAAATAGAGAGTTTATTTAAGAAACATGAAAATGTGATAGAGGAACTCCATTGGTAAAGTGACTCCATTGGTAAAGTGCTTGTTATACAAGCATGGATAAGAATGACCCCCATAGGCTATTTGAATGCTTATCTATCAAGGAGAGGCGATATTTGAGAAGGATTAGGAGGTGTGGCTTTGTTGAAGTAGGTGTGGCCTTGTTAGAGGAAGTGTATCACAGGGGCGTGGGGTGGGGTTTTGAGGTTTCAAAAGCCCAAGCCAGGCCCAGTGTTACTCTCTTCCTGTTGCCTGATGATTTGGTGTAGAGCTCTCTGCTACCTCTCCAGCACCATGTCTGCCTGCATGCCGTCATGCTTTCCACCATGATGATAATGTACTAAACCTCTGAAACTATAAGCCAGCCCCAATTAAATATTTTCCTTTTTAAGAATTGCTATGGTGTCTCTTCACAGTAATAGAACATTGACCAAGACAAAGTGTGAGGACCTGAGTTTACATCCCTAGCATCCATATAAAAAGACAGGTATGACAACGTATGTGTGTCATCTCTGAGCTGGTGGCTCAGCATCCTTATCAGGTAGCCCATAAACACCTGAAACTCTAGCTCCAGGGAATCCAGCACCCTTTTCTGATCTCTGTAGGCACCTGCTCTTATGAGCACATACTCCATTTGGTGGTTTGAAGGAGAATGGACCCCACAGGCTCCTATATTTGAATACTTGGTCACCAGTTGGTAGAACTGTTAGGGAAGGATTTTAGGAGGTGTGGCCTTGTTGGAGGCAGTGGAGGAAGTGTGTCACTGTGTGGAGAGGATGGGGCAGGTTCTGGAGTTTCAAAAGACTTGTGCCCTTCCTAGTGTTCTCTCTCTTCCTCTCTGTGTCCTAACTGTGGGTCAGGATGTGAGCTCTTTGCTATTCCTCTGCTCTGCCACCATGGACTCTAACTCTCTGAAACCCTAAGTCAAATTAAACACTTCCTTTTTAAGACGCCTTTGTCATGGTTTTATCACAGCAATAAAAAAAGTAACTAAAGCATTCCACACAGAGACACAGAAATAAAATAAGTATTGTTGAGCGTGGTAGTGCACATCTTTAATCCCAAACTCAAGAGGTAGAGTTTGGCAATCTCTGTGAAAAACAATACTTTATTAGATACCTTACATAATAGAATAAGCAACACTAACATACGTAGTTGTCAAGTAGAAGCACTCAAGTGCACTAATGACAGTTGCATTGACATAACACACAAAGCTTATTCATACAGAAGCAGGTCAGATGATGAAATGTGTAGACATAGATCAGTGTGGTTGATTACTGTGTGCACCAGCCTTTGTAACTGTGGTCATTCAAAATACCACAACTGACAGTAAGAGTCTTCTGGCAAGATCCACCACAAAGCTCCATGGGTCAAGCCTGCATATGCAGTTGCCCAGGAGCTTGGATTTTTGAAAATTTGCTTTTCACAGATACAGATGTACAAAAAGGGAATTTCTTCATTTCTTGAAAAAAATTTCAATTTTTTTTAAAAAAAAATTTAGACTTATTTTATTTTGTGTGTATGAGTGTTTTGCCTGTATGTTGTCTGTGTAGCAGATAGGTCCACACTGTCAGAGGTCAGAATAGGGCTCCCCTGGAACTGGAGTAATGAGTGGTGTGAGCTACCTACCATGTGGGTGCTGGGAACCAAACCTGAGTCATCTACAAGAGCAACCAGGGCTGTTAACCCTGGTTATATTTCCAGCCAAGTTTCAATGATTTTAGAAACATGCACTGAGCCGGGCGGTGGTGGCGCACGCCTTTAATCCCAGCACTCGGGAGGCAGAGCCAGGCGGATCTCTGTGAGTTCGAGGCCAGCCTGGGCTACCAAGTGAGTTCCAGGAGAGGCGCAAAGCTACACAGAGAAACCCTGTCTCGAAAAACCAAAAAAAAAAAAAAAAAAAAAAAAAAGAAACATGCACTGTAATCATATAGAAAAATTAACATTATGATTTTCACTAATTTTAATGTGTAAAACAAACCCACACAAAGCAAGAGGGTTCTCTAGAAGTCTTTCCACATTTCATACCTCCAGTACTGAATGTGATGGAAAGATGAAATGATAGATCGTAGCAAATTATAAAAAACAAAGCTGGCGATTTAAAATGATAGAAAACATAAAACTGAAAAAGGGAGGGAGGGGCAGCCCTTCCACATAAAGGCTAATCTGATGTACAAAAAGACAGGTTATAGGCAACTGTACAGGTGAGAGCTATCCCATGCTCCTGATCTAAACTACTCTGAAGGCTTGCTGCACAATGGACAGCTGCTGTGCTGCCTAGTTTTATGTCAACATGACATAAGGTAGAGTCATCAAGAGGGAGCCTCAGATGAAGAAAATGCCTCCATAAGATCCAGCTTTAGGCAGGTCTGTAGGGTATCCCCACCCCCCGCCCCAATCCCCTCAATCGAGGACTGAGCCCAGGGCTTTAAGCTCAATAGGCAAGATCTCTACCACTGAGCTAAATCCCCATCCCCTGGGCATTTTATTCATTAGTGATCAATGCAGGAGGGGCCAGCCCATGGTGGGTGGTGCTATCCCTGGGATTGTGGCCCTGGGTTCTATAAGAAAGCAGGTTGAACAAAGCATGAGCAGCAAGTCAGTAAGCAGGACCCCAACTTGGCCTCTGCATCAGCTCCTGCTTTTAGGATCCTGCTCTGTTTGAGTTCCCGTCCTGACTTCTTCAGTGATGAACAGTGATGTGGAAGCATACGTCAAATAAACCCTTTCCTTTCCAACATGCTTTTCGGCCATGATATTTCACACAACAATAGCAACATAGCTAAAGTCCTGCCTTAGTGCCACAGTCTCACACAATGACAACAAAACGCTGATTTCTTTTTTCCTTCCGGGCATGTGTTTCCTTAGAAAATATATTCATAACTGTTTTCTTCTTGGTTTGACATTCTTCTAAGGCCTGACATAAGCATCCTCTAGTCTGCATGCTGTCAGTCTTCTGTGCTGTGTTGTGCAGGTGTTGTGTTTGCAGACTCTGCCCAGCATGCACTCTCACACAGACCCCAGGTTTACAGAAGTGCTCTGGGGACTGAACAGCAGTGTGGCAGTGTGCTCTCTGATGCTCCCGTGCATGTAATTACTTTTGAACCAGCCAGGAACTTCACTGGATTCTTCAGGCAAAAGCAGTTTTAATTCATTAAAATCTGCAGTGTCATCAAGCTGCAGGGAATGTTAGCACAAATGGTGAAGTTAGAGCAGGGGCCTTCATCACTCCTGGGTTGTTTGGCTAAGCACAGCCCTGTTGGCCTTGCAGCCCCCCCTGTGTAGTTTTTACAGGTATTGTGGGTGGAGGGAGGGCTTCAGGAGTTTAATACTCAGGATTTTGATCCTCTGTGATTCTAATTTTCAGGATTTTAAACCTCAGAGCTTTTGTCTTTGGGAACTGCAGGAGTGAAGTTTGGATTGTGTCTGGGAACAAGACTGGCTCAGTGGTGCACTAATGAAGCAGGGCAGGCCACACAACTTCAAATTACTCCAGTCATAGCCACAAGGTCAGGGTGGCACATGGCTGATGACAATCCAAGGCCTTGAAAGGACTTGTGCCACAAGGCAACTTCCTTTTCCTGAAATTGCAGGTACCCAGGATGAATCAAACTGAACTGCAGGTGGTGGTTCCACAGCACGTGGAGAGAGCCTGCGTGAGAGCAGGACCGTCTCAGAGGACACTAGATCCAAAAATGGAGAGATGCATACTCCTGATCGTGTAAGTTAATGCCTGAAGTTCTCTCCACCGCTGCACAGGAGAACCTTCACCTGGTAAGTACTCTACAGAGCAGAAGAGGGATAGCAAACAGTGTAGCTTGTGTCTGTGCAAGAGGGAGATGAAAGAGCAAGGCATTCCAAACCCAACACTAAGCGAGGGGATCCATGGGAGCTAGTCTAAGAATAGTTTTGTATTTGTTTGTGTATGGGATTTCAGACTAAAGTTCTGTTCCTTACAAAAGTGAAACCAACCATCTTTGGATCTCACTGATCAAATGATAATGTTCTTCCAGAAGCCGGATCCTTCTCATCAAGTCTCTGTTCTCTCTTGGCTGTGTTTACACCCCCAGCAGCACAGTCATTGAACTGGGCTCCCCCTCTTCTTTGTCCTCTCTGGTAGACACTCAAGGGGTGACGAACTGGGCATTTCTTCTACACACTTCCCTCTTGCTCAAGAGTGTCAGTTCACGTGGTCAACGAAAGTCAGATTCAGTAAATATTTATTGAACACCAAGAAGTGCTGTGATCTATCTTATAACACTTAGGAAGTTTACTGGCCCCAGAGGAGGAAGCTACTTATATTTTTATTGGATATGATCATCACAAAGGTCACAGGGAAAGTCGTAGGCAGAACCAGAAATTCAACCTCTAGCAAACACGGCTTTCTCCTAAAGAGCCTGAGTTAAGAGAGAGAGACTTGGTTTGAAACTTACTTATTGTGGGAACTTGAGCAAATTAGTCAACTTTCCCACAATTCTGTTTTGTACCTGTAAGATGTTAATGCTCTACCTTCCAGTGCCATATGTGGGTTATGAATAATGAGTGGTTAGACACACTAGCACCAGGTCAACCCTGGATGTTCCCTTCTCCTTTGTAAGGAAAAAACCAGGTCCCCTTAGCCACAACACTTTCACATAAAAGAAGCCTCTGTGCCGTGTTAACTCCTCCCAGTGCAGTTTTGTATGTGTATACATAAACAAAGACTCTTTTTTCATTTTTGGAGATAGAACCCAGATTCTCAGGCATGCTAAACCTGAGCTAAATTTCTAGACCCACTGGTAATATATACATAGACACTACACTATAAAACACATGGTCTTCAAATCATAATATTTATTCATTTCATTATTGATCGGGAAGAAGAGAGCAAAGGCCAGTTACTTTGAATTCTAGGATGCAGAGAAGAGTCAATCCAAACCATTGTGTAGTTTCACCTTACAAAGATGGGCGGGGAGAGAGGTAGAGACAAATTGTAACATTTCCCCAGCCTTCCAAATTCAGTTCTTATTCACTGTGTCAACAAGTATACATGCCAGGCACTGCTCCAGGGGATAGAGAACCAGTGTGAGCAACATAGCCCAAGTGTGAGCGAGGGCTGGGGAGCTGATGGCTCCACTCTCTTCCTCCTGCCCTGCTGCCCTTTGTGGCACTTAGCCTTGGTGTAATAGTTCAGAGCAGGGCACAGAAAATTATGTTTCTGAGCAGCTAAGCTGTGGGTGACTTTACATTTTGGAAGAGGCCTTTTGTAGCCTGTAAAACCTGGAATGTTTCCCATTTGACCCTTCGTAGAACATATGCAGACTTCTAGTCCAGAGATCTATGCTATTCTCCAGAGCAAGAACAAACAGTTGAAACCTCTAGCTGTTAGAGTCTTTTCTCCTATTAATCCTTTGCTATTTGTATGAAGCAAAATTAAGTATTATTTTCTACAATGTAACCAAGACTGGGCAGATACCCTGTTTATATTAATTTCATGGAATAATAATTCAGCTTTTTTTGTCTTTGATTATTTGTTACTTTGTTTTCCTAGCCTGCAACCTCTACATAAAATGCTGCTATTCTCCAGTCAGATCTTTTGCCATTTCTCTTTTTTTCTTAAACCTAAGTGGGCATCAGTAGGTGATACTGTGCAAATGACCCGCCAGGGGAGAAGAGAAGCAAGTTGGCTGTTACTGCCTTTGGTGGTTACTACTTCAAAATCCCTTAACTGTCTCAACTACATCCCTACTGTGTGTTCTTCATGGGGTTTACATGTTAGACTAAGAGTTTTAGATGTTTCCAGCCCTTCTCCCTGGAGGATGCACTCTGCCCCCTTTCCTTCCTGCTGGCCCAGACTTCTGCTTGCCCAGTGAGAGTCTCTGGCCAGGGGAATCATTTTGGTGGTTTGGTGACTTCCACTCCTAAGAGTAATTTAGAGCTGTGGAGCTGAATCAGGAGCTGCTCTAGGTTACAAGGTTACAAATGCCCACTTTAAACTTGTATACGTTGTCCTCGTGTCATCCTAGTGGACAGTCCTGCCCAGCCATACTCACACTCAAAACATCTGCAAATGTGGAGTGGCATGGCCTGGGCATCCGCTGACTCATCCCAGTTCTTCCTCAGATTTGTTGTGGGGCTTGGGCTTGGATCCCCAATGCCTATATTACCACATCTGTAACATAAAGATAATTCAAACTTTCATTTCAGCTTCTGGAATAGAATTAAACTGTGTATGGACATTGATGTTCCCATGGCAACACTCATGTCAGGTATCTAGTATGTCACGGATCAATACATTATTTATGATAAGCACTTGTAGAGTCTCCTGTTACAGAAGAAAAAGACTCTTAGGGAAACCTAGAGGGCATACTTTCTCCTTCATTTATACTCATTATCTCAGGAGGCTTCATCATGCTACTCCAAACTATCTGGTTCTCAATTTGCAGAATAAAATCACTTAGCACACCCTGGAGCCATTGAATCCACAAGCAATATGAATGCAACTATAGTTTGAATAAAGAGGAAGAGACTAGCTTCCTACTGAAACCACAGAGGAGTCCCTGGGAGTGGCTGATGGGGGTGGAAAGGATCCCAACTTGGAACCATCTCAAAGGAATAGGAATGTCAGCTCTACAAAACAACTTTATTGTAATGTTATTATCATTATTATTATTTGTGGAAAATATAAATCTACAAAAGGACAAAATATAATAATAACCACATCATTTACACATAAACAATATTAGCATTGTTTCATTGCTATCAAGCCTTCCTATCTTTTTCTAGACTTCCAAATATTCTATTCTAAGACTAGTTTCTCATTTGTGATCATTTTTACAAGTCATTATGTATTATAGAAAGTAACTGGCAGAGTGCATCATCAGGACACAGCAATTTATGTAACCAATTCAAAATTACTTAAAATTTAGATTGTGCCTTGAATTGTCTGTTAATTAAAATCAATTCATTTGTTGTTGACTTAGGGTCTTAAATTAATTTCACTGAAACTTTGTCAAATCTACAAATACTTTTTTTCAACCAATGTCATCACTTGTACTGTAACATTCTCTTCCATAGAAAGTTCTCTCTGTGGGTGAACTAGAGCGAATACCTCCAAAGCTCCTCAACAAATTTCCATGATACTCTCAACAGGAAAGACACTTATCTGGATTGTATTTTCCCATATTCTTTGGTCTCTTATATAAGACTTTTGCCTAAAATGTCATGCCCCCTTTCCAAATTTGTTGAAAAGTATTTTTTCTTTCTGATTCTTTCTTCCTTCAACTGAGACACTATCTCTTTATTTTAATACCAAATCCATTTCTATTATTTGTTTTTTATGCTATGTTTTATTTTCGATTGAAGTCTCACAATTTTTAGTACAAAAATTCCTTTAGAAATTCTGAGGATGCCAGAGTCTCTGTTGGAGTGGAATCTGTTGCTATTTAATGTATTAGGATGAAAACTGAGCAAAGTTAATATTTTTAGCATTCCATTTTAAGGTTGTAATATGACATCTATCACATGTTAACAAAAACATCAAATTTATGTTTGCAAAATAAAAGCTAGTTTAGTGAGAAGAATGTCATTGTTTTACATTTTAGCAACTCCCTTTGACGTCTGGTCTCAGGAAAAGCAGCTGGATTCATGCACTGACAATGTTGCCCTGGGGAGACTGGCTTCACACAGCTGTGTGGTAGGAGAAGGGAGATCCCGGCAGCTGTCCTGAGCCATTTCGGGGATACCCAGAGATCCTCTGCCCACAATTGAGAACTGCAGCCCCAAACCTGCTCCACTTGCTCAGCATCTTTTTATATGATAGCTTTGCTTTGTTTTGTTTTTAATAAGAAATGAGAAGACAATAGTATCTCAACACTACATGGAAATGCTTCAGTAACATGCAGACATTTAGACTTGTGTGGACAATGGGAAAACATTTCCTTTGGGAAAATTGGGAGCTAAGATGCTGTCTGAAGTAACACCATCATTGAAGAACATTGTTCTTTTCAGTAGCTTCTTTCAATAGATACTTAGGTTTCATATTTAAACACTGCGACTCAAAACTAGCAATTTTCTAAATGAAACAAAATTTTTCTTTGTGTGATTTTTGGCAAAACTCCATTTTGAATTCTGGCTCAGTTTCAAGTAAGGGCTCTGTTCTTCTGAAATCCATTCCCTGGTCAGGTAACTTGGCATTCTTTGGTCTGTAAAATGGACGCTTTCGTGCTTTGTTGCGTTAAAAACATTGAATGTGTCTTGTTTCCACTTAATGAGCCCAGAAGTGGAACCAACTTCCACATAACGTCTTAAAGTAAGATTCAAGTTTGCTGTAGTAGGGCTCTGTGGATTCTCCATTCAGTGTCTGATACAACATGAGCTCCAAGGATTGTTGTGTTCTCTGTTCTGCTGCGGTTTGATTTCATGCACTGTGGAGAATGGAGGAACCCCTGAGTGAATGCGGATTGTTTGACATGGGCACAACATGTCAAGGACCCCAGTACCTCAGACCTATGGGAACGGCAAAGCATCTTCCCTGCTCTTTGTGTGGATGCTAATGTGTTCAGAAAATGTCCATGGAAGTTTCCTCCTCCTCCAGGACAGCTACAGTCTTAGACTGCTCCTGTTACAGACCCCCTACTGAGATGAGCTAAGCCTGCTTCCTGTTCAGCCATATCTAATAACCCCACCTTTTCCTGTTGGTAGTGGCCCTGTTTTCTGCCCTGGAGGGCCACTGGTGTGGTGGGACACCTGTTTTTCTCTGACTATCCTCAAGTTCCGAGTTGTACCTCAACATG